TTGTTAAACATATGAATTCATGCTTTGTCAGGTCTGCCAGCAAGACAACAGGACAACAACTTCTAAAATGTTTGTTTTCTGAATGGAGTTTGGATCGATCAGGGCTATGCTAACTTGGTCAGTAAAGTACAATGATAGCTGGAATAAAGTTAGAGACACGTTTTCTGAACTCACCAGGTAGTTCAACCTCCTCGCTTTCTTTTCTCCAAGTAATGTCCAGCTTTGTCCGGTTTTTATATAAATATGAAGTCGTAGTCCAACAGAGCTAACAATGCTAACAGCAACACTGGAACCGGACGTGCACAGAATTTAGCTGCTGAGAAGCTCCAGTTAAGATAAATCAACGTTGAAATCCCAAAAACTAAAGTAAAAAGCTAATTTAATAAAAGCAGTTAACTCCGAGCTCCTCCCGCGAGTAAACGGCGTAGTTGTCAGACCCGAACCCGACCGACTAAGGGTGTTTATTTCTCCAATGGTTGCAGCGCTGCTCCCTGCTCCTCTCCCCCAAGTTTACCAGCTCTCAGCCAGCCAGCAGATTTTCAATCCCCCGCTCTGCCCGGCCCTCTCTACACAACGCTCTGAAGCCTCGGTGACGTACGGACAATCTCAACACTGACAGGCTATCGTGATAGCCTTAGAGGGCTGCGCCTATACTCTATACTATAGAATCCAGGTTACAGTACGTAACCCCTGATTTTCCACTTACAAGGAGTGAGAAAATCTGGATACTGTCATCTAGCAAATACTTTTAGTTTCAATGTACAAATCTGATGGATTTGAATCCAGTGAGCTGGCTGGTTCTCACAGGGACAACATGTTTACCAAGGCAGCCTTTCTCTGCTCCAGCCTCCCCCCTCCCTTAAGTCAACATTACAGCAGATGACTTTTTCTCAGTAGGAAAAACATCTTGCCTTACTTCTCATTGCCACTCACTCCCTTTTTTTTAATGGGCCTACAGCCAGACTTAAAGGCACCTTGTGGAGTTTTTGACCTCTAGTAGCTAGCACTATGAAGCTGTTTAGTTGTGTCTCATGCACGCAAGGAAGCACATGCACAGGCAGGTGATGTGATGCAAAATTCCGCCAATGGGTTCACATTATTCCACTGATTGACAGGTGGCAGTAATATGCCAATATATGCGACAATGATCCAGCAAAGGCAGGGAAGAAGAAATGCATTCAGTTTGTTTGTTAGAACTAATGGATAAATAATAAGTTTTGATGAGTAACACCGAATGTCAACATAATCTGTTTTTGTTTTAAAGAAAATTCCACAGGGCACCTTTGAGCAAACTATGACACACATTAGGCAGGTTTGTGTCGCAAGAAGGCCAAGCCGCACATACATCCTGCTTGAGTTTTAATGTCGTAAAGATATAGTACTTCGCAGTATCAGTCACACTTTTGTTGAGACTGGAGTACCGCCTTATCAGTCGCTTCTATTCAACTAGCTTACTTCGGATCAATAATCCAATGCCAGTCAATTGTCAACTATCAACAACCTTTTCACTCTCGAGGTCTGGCCTTGGACTCTGGGCTATGAAAACAACCCATATTACATACAGACACCGTAAACAATATAGTAAACTACAAATTTAACTGATTCTATACATTTTCCACAGACATTACTGGTATCATAATGAAGCAAGACTGGATGCTTAGAAAAAGCTTTCACAAACATCCTCAGTGGGGTTTGGTTGGAAGTTTTTTAAACATAATCTTTGCTACAATATTGTGAATAGGGAGGAAACCAGAGAGACTGAAATGTGCTGTGTTAGACATTCTTGTCATACCTAACCTAGGAAAATGCCTTTGTTTCATTTCTGCTATGGTGGCAAACCTGACATCTAACTGCATAGTCCCCGGTTGGCTACTGCTGGGCACACAGGTTAGTCAACACAGCGTTGCAGCCAGGTCAAATTCAAGTTTTCAAGGTAATGTAATGATCATTTTACAACAGGGTTGTGAAAATAAATTCTGTTTGCAACTCCCTTCTGCTACATAGCAGACAATAAACTGTCAATATACAATAAAACAATCATAAAAAAGCAAACAATAAATTCCACTATGTTGCTGCTTTTACCCGACTACTGTTGCAGCTGATGGGCATCTCTTTTTGGATAGCTGGAGTGGGCTTCAACACAAACCAAACCCAACTATTTCTATATATAGAAAATTAACAAAGAACAAGATGCCCAAAGCACATCTGCACATTACAGCTGGTTCACATTTCTAAGACAGAGACAGTGTCTATGACAACCCTAGAACATGTGTTTAAGTGAGAGAAAAGCAAGAGTGTGTCTGTCTCTATACGACTGTATTGTATCTCTTTACCTATCTGCAGCAGCACTGGCGTCACCAGAGCTGTTTCCATGGCGTAGCAAAACTCGCGTCCGAACATCACCGCTCCGTGCATCACCCAGCGATGCAAAGGGGTCTGCATACCTCTACCCTCCTCCTCCACCTCCTTCTGACTCTCATCTTCTTCTTCCTTGGGTTTCTTTTTCTCCAGAAGGCCAGCAGACTCACTCTTTTCTGCTTCTCCTCCCATTACAGTGTGGTTTGACTTCAGAGGAGCCATTTATTTTGCTGGATGGTTTGTATATTTAACAGTGTATACCACTTATTGCTATTATTTTCCAGAACTCTACCAATTATTATATACTAATAGAGCATGTAATGTTCATGGTTTTCATCTTGATCATTCACTATGTAAGTGAAGCAAAAGATTTTCCAGAAAGATTAATCAGCGAGCATTTTTGATGGTCAGCCCCTTCTGGATCCAAAGAATTGCAAATGATTGTGGAGGAAGCATGAATCATCATTATAATAACATTAATGTGTCCAAAACGTTGATGTTTTTATCCTGCGGCCATCATGCTGAGCGGTGGTGTTCCTTGCTGTGGCTTGCACAGAGTCAAAATTCAGGAAGATCAGATAAGTTCTGCGTAGCTTCAGACGTGTTGAGCAGAAGAGGTGGGAGAAGGGGTGTGGTGATATGTGTGTTATGGGTTCAAGTTGCAGTGAGAAGGGTTAGAATTGGTTTGTGAATGTGTCAGTTTGTGTTGGAAGTTGGTCGTATGCAGTACTGAATTGTGTAAGACTAGAGTGTGGGTCAGCAGAAGTGTGTGTGTGTATGTGTGTGTGTGTGTGTGTGTGTGTATGTAAGTGCACTTCAGTTCAAGTCTGTATTAAAGCATGTGGGAATTTTTTGGCAAAGACCCACTAAGTCACACAGCAACCTGTAAAACCAATTTTAAAAAAGCTAAAGTTAGAAAATAGTACAGGGGGAAAATCTTTTTTCAGTCCCTTTTCCTCAACAAATTAAATATCTTAATAGAAAAATTAAGTATTAAAATTAAGTATTAAATCAAACATTTATTGAACATTTGTTTTATTGTTATTGAGGAAAATTACATTGTGATAATTATCATTATTGTTTTATTGCCCAGCCCTAGAAGGCTCCCATGTGTAAAATGTTTCAATGAAGTTGGGTCCGATGATAGGAAACAAAAATTCTCTTGGCTTAGAAAAAAATGCTGCCCTGCTCTCAAGTTTACAGATGGAATAGACATGGCAGAATAAATGAGCAGAGGATCCATAACTGAACTATCTGAGATTACTATAAAGATTGTCCGTCATGTTATATGATGGACAATCTTTACAGTAATCTTCTTGAGTCTGTGATACTCACTGACATCACCTGTAACCATAATCTTTAAACCACAAAACTGGCAGGCTACAAAGACATCCAAGGCATGAACAAAAGCCACATAAAGACATCAGCCCTTTTCACAACACCGTGGATGTTGCATGAGTGTTAACAGTTAAAAAATATATAATCTGCTTAACAAGATACATAAACTGCCTCAGGATAAATGTATGCAGGAGAACAGCGATGATTTGTGGGTTCTATTTGAGCTACCATTTCTCTCTCGTCTTTACTCCTGTCTACCTTTTCTGAACAAATGACAGGTAAAGTGATCTCAAATAAAGGTTAGGTCACCTATAAGTTAATGGTTAAACCAAATAAACGGAGCCTTCCCACAGATGGGAGATATTGTGCAATTTTCTGTAGTGATATATGAGAGTAACCCGACCATTCTATACGTTTTTAATCTCTCCAAAGTAACGTTAGAGTTGAAAATATCTTGTTTCTTACAGAAATGTATGACGAGTGTGTATGGGGGACTTCTTGAACCAGTTAACTTACTGGACGTCTGCTAACGGTAACGCTGACTTAACGTAACCTGAGCTGCCCCCACCGACCTGTACTACATCCTACACTTAATTAATAACGAGGCATTTTTAGCGAGTGACACACCTGTCTCTGGACACATCCATGTTAACTTTCATTAGCTGAGGTTTCACTTGTGGCTAACGTTACCTTAGCGTGCTTAGCCGGCTAATAACGTTTCATTATGCAGCTAACGTTAGCAAGTTAAGACAGAGAGAACCACTAATATTAAAGACAGAAATGGATAACTTACCTGCGCTTTTACTCCGCTAAGGTAACGTAATACCGGTTTGGGTTAGCAATATGGCTAATCTTTCCCAGCTAACCAAATCGTTTACTACACTCGTCAATCTCTTTCATTGGTTTCCTAGTTTCCACAGTAACAAAGCGAGACGTGTGTCAAGAGAACGCAAATGACGTCATCAAGCGACTCACCTACGGAGGGCAGGGAATCAATAATGGTTTATAATGATCAATTATTAATAACACTAGCAATAGAATAAAACGAATAATATAATAATTGTATCAACAATAATAATGTATAAATAATTTTAAAATTAATGGATCATTTAACTTATTGGTTTTAGGTTTTTTTTCAAACCTCAACTGTAAAATTTAAAGACTTACGAGACTGATTTTATATGTGAAGAACCAGACAGACAAAGGCAGACAGAACAGCAATATTATGTACTCACAAGACTATGAAAATAACGCCTTCCAAACAAGGAAAGCACCATATCATAAAGCAAAGCAAAACATTTGACTGGCATGAACACACCTTTATTCCCCATCCCCCTGTAATTTCCCCAATATGTGACATGTCTCCCTGCAAAGAGAGGTTCAATAAAACAAATAGAAACCAACCAAGCAGTTTCTTTCTGAGTGATAAAATTGTCTTTGGTCTGTTACTGTAATGGTCCTTGAAAGGGAGTGCAATGTTGCCCTCTGCTGCACAAAAGTGGTTATCATTCCCAAACATTTTCTTGGAGTGGATCTTCTGAAGTGGTCACAATGCAATCCAGACAGAAAACACTTCTATCCTTGCATGTGGGAAACAGATACATATGTGGTCCGTCTTACATTATGTAATTGTATGATGTTAAGTTCTCTTATGTTTACACTTAATCAGGCATTACAGTAAGAAGTTGATCCAAGTCTGTTTGACATTACATGTCTCGCTGTTATGAAAAGGATGCAGTGGTCAAAGACAGGTATCAGGCTGGTCATCAATATCTTCTTTTGTTAATGCCAACACTTCTCTCCAAAGATTTTAAGATTTTCTGCAAAGAAGTCACAGCTATCAGTGATCCTTTTGCAGTGGCAATTGTGCTCACTCTCAGCTATAGAGGATCTATTTAGGGATCATAAAAGAAACTTTAGAATGTAGTGCAACTGTTTAGACTCTCTCTGTTATGTTACCAAAAATCAAAACCGGAGTCATCAGCTTTGCTGCAGTTCTTTTGCTATTTCAGTTTTTAAAAATTAATTAATTCAGAGAAATGTATTTGGGCACAGTAAATATTCCTTGCTCAAGTACTCTCTAAAGGTAAAATATATTTAATGTGGATAGTATACAGTACATCAAATTTGAGTGTTAAACAACTTTCTTTTATGATATTTGTCACTTGTATGACTGAAGTAATAATACATATAAATCAGTTTTGTACTCAGTTGTATTTTTGAAGTCACAGGTCCAAAGTCATGGGAAGGTTTGGCTGCAGACTGAAATGGTCTCTTGTCAGTGTTTTAACTGATTTAAAAGGTTGCTGAATATGCTCGGCTGTGGCATACCACATTTTATGTGAACTGGTTGGTCCATATTATTATAACAGCATTGGCAGTTGATCCTGAGCGCTTAGCACTGTGCCATTATACACTGATGCTGTTATCACTGCTCAGCATGTTGCAGTGCAGAAACATCAGCCACCTTTCCCCAGGTGACTGTGATCACTAATTAACTTTCACTTCTCTTCACTCCATGTGAAGGGGGATTTAAAGTTTGTGGTTTTCCCCCGATATGTCTCTGTGCAGTGTGAATTTTGGTCATCATGATCACATTATTAGTGACAGCGTTGGCAGTCCCTCCTGAGGCCTTGGAGCTGTGCTGCATGCTGATGATGTCACCACTCGTCTGCTCGGGCTCTGTACGACGGAAAATATTTCTCACAGTGGCCTGAGGCAGAACAGGGCAGTGAATTATTCAGTGAATTGATGATTAAACGAGTAAATACATGAGTGATGGATGAACAAATATGGCTGCAGGGAAGGACAGATGGACAGATGGAAAGGTGGAAGGATGGTGGGATGGATGGGATAAAGAAAGGTAAGAAAGAGAGTAAGAAAAGGACTCCAGTCTTACCTTGAAATTATTTGTAACAAAGCAGTAGACGACAGGATCCATACAGCTATTCAAACTGCTGAGAGTGACAGTCAAGTGGTAGACTATCACATGATGAGGCATATCAGGGTAGAAGTACACCACCACCTACAATACAACCATGAGATCACACATGATGTTGTCACATTTAACCACTGTTTCATAACTGTTTCATAAATGGTGACATGGTGATGATTTTTTTAAACAATGCAACACACCTGTCTCTCACTCACCTGTCTGATGTGGAAAGGTGTAAAGCAGATGGTGAAGATGACCAGCACTGTGGTCAGCAGCTGGACAGCCCTCTGTCTCCTCTCCCTGAGAAAGTACAGTCAAAGCCACAAGTGTAACATCCCATCAGCTTTAAGCCTCTAGTGCTTTCAAAGCTGCAATGCAATCCTTTTATTATTGTATGGTCTATTCTTGTATGTCATGATATACTGTACTTCCTTACTACATACACTACCGTTCAAAAGTTTGGGGTCACATTGAAATGTCCTTATTTTTGAAGGAAAAGCACTGTACTTTTCAATGAAGATAACTTTAAACTAGTCTTAACTTTGAAGAAATACACTCTATACATTGCTAATGTGGTAAATGACTATTCTAGCTGCAAATGTCTGGTTTTTGGTGCAATATCTACATAGGTGTATAGAGGCCCATTTCCAGCAACTATCACTCCAGTGTTCTAATGGTACAATGTGTTTGCTCATTGGCTCAGAAGGCTAATTGATGATTAGAAAACCCTTGTGCAATCATGTTCACACATCTGAAAACAGTTTAGGTCGTTACAGAAGCTACAAAACTGACCTTCCTTTGAGCAGATTGAGTTTCTGGAGCATCACATTTGTGGGGTCAATTAAACGCTCAAAATGGCCAGAAAAACAGAACTTTAATCTGAAACTCGACAGTCTATTCTTGTTCTTAGAAATGAAGGCTATTCCATGCGAGACATTGCTAAGAAATTGAAGATTTCCTACAACGGTGTGTACTACTCCCTTCAGAGGACAGCACAAACAGGCTCTAACCAGAGTAGAAAAAGAAGTGGGAGGCCGCGTTGCACAACTGAGCAAGAAGATAAGTACATTAGAGTCTGTAGTTTGAGAAACAGACGCCTCACAGGTCCCCAACTGGCATCTTCATTAAATAGTACCCGCAAAACACCAGTGTCAACATCTACAGTGAAGAGGCGGCTGCGGGATTCTGGGCTTCAGGGCAGAGTGGCAAAGAAAAAGCCATATCTGAGACTGACCAATAAAAGAAAAAGATTAAGATGGGCAAAAGAACACAGACATTGGACAGAGGAAGACTGGAAAAAAGTGTTGTGGACGGATGAATCCAAGTTTGAGGTGTTTGGATCACAAAGAAGAACGTTTGTGAGACGCAGAACAAATGAAAAGATGCTGGAAGAATGCCTGACGCCATCTGTTAAGCATGGTGGAGGTAATATGATGGTCTGGGGTTGCTTTGGTGCTGGTAAGGTGGGAGATTTGTACAGGGTAAAAGGGATTCTGAATAAGGAAGGCTATCACTCCATTTTGCAACGCCATGCCATACCCAGTGGACAGCGCTTGATTGGAGCCAATTTCATCCTACAACAGGACAATGACCCTAAACACACCTCCAAATTGTGCAAGAACTATTTAGAGCAGAAGCAGGCAGCTGGTATTCTATCGGTAATGGAGTGGCCAGCGCAGTCACCAGATCTGAACCCCATTGAGCTGTTGTGGGAGCAGCTTGACCGTATGGTACGCAAGAAGTGCCCATCCAACCAATCCAACTTGTGGGAGCTGCTTCTGGAAGCGTGGGGTGCAATTTCTCCAGATTACCTCAACAAATTAACAGCTGGAATGCCAAAGGTCTGCAATGCTGTAATTGCTGCAAATGGAGGATTCTTTGACGAAAGCAAAGTTTGATGTAAAAAAGATCTTATTTCAAATACAAATCATTATTTCTAACCTTGTCAATGTCTTGACTCCATTTTCTATTCATTTCACAACGTATGGTGGTGAATAAGTGTGACTTTTCAGGAAAACACAAAATTGTTTGGGTGACCCCAAACTTTTGAACGGTAGTGTATATGTATTAAAGATTGGTTATACCTGCTTTGCTGCATCAGACGGCGGTCAGCTAGTGCCCACATAATCCGTAATGTGAAGACCACTATGATGATGAGGGGTAGAAAAAACTCAGTGATGGTAAGAAAGAGGAGCTTTGAGAGGCAGCAGCCCGCGTGCTGGAAAGCAGTGGAGAGGAAGGAGTAGGTGACCACAATGGCAAACAGCCAGACAGAGACGCACACACATTTGGCCACACTGGAGTTCCTCCACCGACGGGAAGCTTCAACCTTCAAGGACAAAAGAAAATATGCAGCTCTAACTTCCTTCTGGTTTCTGAGTAAGGATGAGCAGGTATCCAGCATGTTGTCAAGGGACACTTTAGGCATCAGAAAATGACCAATTCTGTTACCAGATCACAGGCAAAACCCACCTGCACGATGGCGAGGTAACGGTCGACACAAATGCAGGTCAGAAACAAGATGCTGCAGTACATGTTGACAAAGTAGCTGAAGATGTGCATGTAGGAGCAGGTGAGACACGCTCCTCCACTGTAATAGAGCAGGATACGAGTTGGCAGAGAGAGGTTCACCAAGAGGTCCGTCACCGCCAAGTTGATGGTGTAGATCACTGACGTGGTCTTTTGCTTGGTGCGGAAACAGAAAACATAAAGTGCGACTATGTTAAGCACCATGCCCACCTGTGGAAGAGAAGAGTAGAGTTACAGAGTTTATACATACTGGCACTGTCAGTATGTGTTTGAAAAACTTACATAAGAATGTATTAATATCTACTTATACCACAAAGGGCTCCAAAAGAAATTCCTACCAGGAATATGAGAGAGTTTATAACCATCAGTGCAATCCAAAGGCCGTAAAAGTCATTGTAGAGCCCCTCATCCAAATGAGCCAGTCTTTGAAGATATCCTTCCATACCACTTCTGTTACTGGGACTGGATATTACAGGCAGGATGGGAAATGAAGTATTGATGAAAAGCCAGGACTCAGTGCTGTTGAAGATCATCTTAATGATTATGGTGAGGATGATGGTGGTGATGATAGTGATGATGGTGATGATGTTCCAAAGTTGGTGCAGAAACTGTCAGACAAAATCACAGTAAACATTTACTTGAAATTGTAGTCTGGGTGGAAACTGCAAGATACCCATCTGTTTATTTTTGTACCAATTTATAACTCTTCACTGGCTGCAGGCTATCCCAGCATGCATTAGGCAACAGGGAGACACCCTGAACTCACATTCCCACACACAATCACCTTTATAGTAAAAGACTGTGGGAATAAAGTAAGCCCTGCACAGTGCAACATACAGAGCATCCCTCTCCACTCCCCTGCCCTGACGGCCACTCTTCACTGTCTCTGACCTCAGTGTGGATGTTGCTGTTGGCACGGCCACACTGACAAAGCCACTTTAAACCAATAATTTATTTATAATGTAACTCTATTTATTTGTGCAGTCTTCTGTGAGGGGTTATGGATATATTTATTATATTTGTCAGTATCAGTTTTATTAAGAATTTAAATATGTCAATTTTAACTCTTACCCTTTTTGTAAAAACACTGAAATATGCGCATCTAACCCTTCTGACCTTTTCACGGCAGTCATAACATGAAAAAAAATCCTGTGTGGTTTCATCTCATTTAAATAGCTCAGAGCAGATCCGATCTGAACCACAAATAGTGATTTTGTGCCTGATAAATCAATCCTGATCTCTATGCCCTGTTTGTTTTTATTACTACCGAGGATTATTGTTGCTGAGAAAGATGACAAATTCTTCTCGTAATTGGGATAAACAGAGTGGATTTGGGAATAAATTCTATGTATATGTGTGTCGACAGGATAACAGTTCTTTTGAGCAACAGTAAGTACAATCACTAGTGCAGACAACAGTTAAAACGTAGATTACATCAAAGGTGGCAAAATGCAACATGTCATCTCCAGGGTATATTTCACACATATTTTCACAGTGTGGTGATAATTTCTTCTAGTGCACAAGCAAAATCTGCTGTACCTACTGTAATGAGACTTTATGAAATTAGACACTCAAGTTAACTATGTGACCCTTTACATATGGTGCTTTCAGCTGTGAGGAGGAAAATATGCAAATATGAACCAGAATCTACAAGGTGCAAATACATAGACAGCAGAGGGTAGTCACTGACTGCACCACATACATATCTCAGTGGAATATAATATGAGATTAGACAGACAATATGAATCACTCCTGGTCATTATATAGTAGCTATTTCCTCATCAAGCCCATCAAGTGATCAGTGGCTATATTAGGACAGTGCACTAAAGTTCACCCCTTCAAAACATTGATGCACCATAAGTGGCATTGTTCTTTATATTCACTCATTTGACTACAATCTTTTCATAATTTAAATCTGTACTAAGTTGTGGACTCACATTGGAGGGCAGCAGTAGAGTATGAGTTGAGGACTATGCAGGAGATTTAAAAAAGCTAATTTATAGAGTTAACCTACATTTAAAACATGTCAAGTCACATGAGGTTAAACACCATATTTTCCATACAGCACCCCAATGAGGGTGAACCCAAAATTGGCTGGAGGGGGGCTTGCTACTGTATCCTTCCATGACAAATGTAGTTTAATTGCTCATGAGAGTCCCAGACTGGAAAGGTTTAAGAAGCCCAACATATTGTGTTGTATATGCTCATGGCTCACCAACTAATCTCTCACAGCAAAAGAATCATCCAGCTGATGAAGAAGGCTAATGAGAATAACATGCTCAGCTGAGGGTGAGGCATGAATAATATGATTTATCTGCATTAACAAGACCAGTCCAGCCATAGAACATTAAGACCACTGAAGAAAATAAATGGATGTTTTCATAGTAACATCCCATGATATTGTTCAGCTTACTGGAGCTAGTTCATCATCATTAACAGTGCTAACGAGTGTTATGGGCGTTGCTCTGGGGAAATTGCATTAAACCACTGACTTCATCTGTTCAGAAACAAATGGCAATGACAAGTAATTTATTCCAGTGGTTTACAATGATGTATTGTGAAAGCTGTTCTTATTCAAAGCTGAATGATGAGCCCCAACACTTAACTATCCAAAGCTATTGTGTTCTTTTTAGCCATGCAACTAGATATTAGGAGGTATTCTAAAATCTTGACAATTACTGGATGGATTATCATGCAATTCAAATTCACAATCCTTCAAAAGGTAACTTAACACCAGACTCAAAAGCAATGTTTTGCTGCCCTCTCTGGTCGGAAGTTTCAAGCCTGTATCACCTCTGACCACAACTGACAACTGTACTCTGTGGCACCTGTAACCTTACATCAACAGTGATGTCATGGTGTCCCTGATTGCATCTGTACATCACTGCAGCAAGGTAAGAAGAAAAACAAGATTTTCAGGGGATGTTAGTTAAACTTAGTTTACTCATAAAGTTTACTCTTAAATGTTCTATGTGCAACTTTCAGAGTATCCTTGTTATTAATGGCAATTAACTGCAGTCAGCATGGAGCCGGACAGACAGAAATACACCCATCATTGTAAGAAAAGGAAGCAAAGGGATTGGATTTAGTGCAGCTGACCTTGAGACAAACTGCCCCCAGTAAGCACCCAGCCAGCTGCAACCCAGCTACGCTGCATGGATCCGGCGCCAGCCGCCCCGCAACGCCAGCTGACAAAGCAACCCACAAACAGCAAGTTAACCAATCTCCCAGCAAGATCTGCCAAGGGAATCTGGATGAATTAAACTGGGCAAACATTATACGATTTTAGAAATGCTGTTGTTTTAATTAAACTTACAAGTATGACTACCATACAAGGAAATTGTCTGCAATGTAAAGCCAAAGCTGTGCTCACACTGTGTAAATAGAAAATAAACTGGTCTGTCGGCCCCAGCGGACCACTCTGTGTATTAACAATAAATTGTTAATAAAGATTTGTTTGAAAGATTTGAGGCAGGTAGAAGTTTGCTTGGTAGCAATAATGCTAATTACACTGAACCATGCTGCTTTGATCATCTGTGCCATCCTGTGTGCTGAAACCTCAGTCGTGTGTATATGGACTCGCAGGTGGCTAGAAGACATGGACAGTATGGCTTGTCCATTTTGCAGAGAAAATTTTAGGTAGGCTCCGTTTGCTACTTTGCCCAGGTGCAGTGAGAAAAAAAGGCACAGATCATGGGGAATTGACTCATTGCTGTGCTTGCTGACAACAGCCAACCAAAATGTCAGAAATTCATCTGACATCTGACTCCAGTTGAACAATCCTTGGTCCCCCCATACACTGCACAGCAAACGACGCCTGTCAATGCTGAAATTCATTCTGACTCTAAAATGATGTCAAATATCTTGTCACAAATGAGCTCAATGCAAAGTGCTTACCCAGCTTTAGCTGAAATTATCAAACTCAAGATGATTTTTTGCTACATTAGCTAGTAGCACCTAGCAGTTTGTCTGCGCTAAGCTAACATTAGCTAGTGTTGCACACTGTTGGCACTGTGAGGGAGCGGAAGAGAAGGCACTCAGGAGTGTGCATAAATGTCATATACTTTGGATTATCCCAGAGAAACTACAAGTCAAAGTCCACAGGCAACCGAGAAAGTTGGGGAAGGTCTCATTTTTTAAGTTACGTTACAATCTCTTCAGACTTTGGCAATGCAAAGTGTTTAAGTCATGTAAATTGCTTAACACTCTTACATATGGCACCTTTAATGTTTCCTCTAGTGGCCAATCACCATTTTCATTTGTCCAACACTTTGGTACATGGCCAAATACCTGCAAAACAAATGATATGCCCATCAGCCTAAAGTTCATGTTTAAAGCTAATTAGCAAATGTAAGCATGCTGTTCTAGCACAGCTGTGGTCTGTGTTTATCAAAGGGCTTTATTCCTGCAGGAGTGCAAAGAAAGATAAAAGAAACATTTGAACCTACAGTGGGTAACCATTCCTTTGGAACTACTCTAGATTTTGTGGACCAAAAGTAAAGTTGATCATGTTTTAAAAAGGTTTTTGTACAGGCATACAGTGTAGGCCTATGGTCATTTTGAAAAGCTCATCATTACAAGCTGTCCAATGCATCACTGCTGCTATTTTATTGTTGCTCTTCCTCTTACAACATCAAAGACTGTGGTGATGCAATGACTGTAAAGTGATGCTGAGAGGAGAGCAGCGGGCCCAGAGGCAGATCACAAATAACACTGTCCAAATAAATTCCAGCAGTGTGGGAGTCCCATTTGGGTGGCAGGGTGAGTGAGTGTTTGTGTGTGTGTGTGTGTGTGTGCATAGGATTGTGTGAAAGAGAGAAATATACAGAAGGGGAGAGAGACAGGATGGGATAGTGGAATACAGATCTCACGCTGTCAAATGCATCAGATTATAGCTTCATAGAAAAGCCCCTCAAGGCAAACAAAACATTTTGTTGGTGCTGTAACTCCAATTTTAGTAATAGCTATACTTGTACTTTCAATAAATGTTCACAGGGGCCTTTCCATGTACTCTGTGTAAGATATTACAAACATGCTCTGCGATGGCAGAGGATTGTAACTGACACTGTTTTAGGGATCTTTGGCATTATATTTGTACTTGCATATATTTATTAGTCTGGGTTCCTGGATGAAACATAACTGTAAGACCTGATTTAATTTCTCTCTTTTTAAAAGAAAAACTAAAAATAGATTGTACGTAGACTGCTGATGACAACTTACCTCCTGAGAAAAAGGAGATACTAGTCAAACTCACAACAAGTCAAATCTGGCTCTGATGATGTTGACGTGTCCTCATGTCCGTCCTAGTCCAAAGATCCTTGGTCAGTGTCCAAACGGGTGATGATGGACCTTTCCAAGTGAGTATGCTTCAACTTTCACTGACCTGTGCACCCTTATCTCATCTCTGAAGATCCACTTAAGTTATCGAGTGAGAATTTCATTCCTCTTGTCAGTGTGTCAGTTGTGTGTCTCCTTTCAGGTTCTTGAGTCATGCCAGTTGGCTAATCAACACACTTTTTCAGATCAGTGCATCAGAGGCATCCCTGTCATTTCTGTCACTGTGTCAGCTTCTCAGCAGT